TGACACCATGTCTGAAATCCCACGTGATCTGTCAAATACTAATGCATGAAAATCCTAACCTCAAAAAAATCACCCGTTACAACCAAATGCAAATATGTACATACATACATGAATATGATACTTTTGGGCATATATAGTAATGTGCAAATGTATTAGTGTTGGTGAATTTTTTAATGTACTCAATAATATACGAAGATGTCGAGCCCTAACCGCAAAAATAACTTTAGCGAAATTTTAAACTAATTTTTTTTGTTGTTGCAGAAATGCATCCAGACGCTTTAGGAATATTTCTGCATCAAAAAGAAAATTGTGAAAAAATTGTCGCTTACGTTATTTTGGCGGTTAGAGCTCGATATGTATGAATGTGTGTATGTATATTATTGACAAATGCATACTTGTATATACTGTGCATTTGTATATGTATGTGCATGTATATACATACATACATACATATGTATGTAGATACAGAGGCGTAACTATAGGGTGGCACTGGCCCCCCCGATCCGAGAGGGCCCGGGCCCAAGAGACCGTTGATTCAGAAATATCCTAATATTTTTAAAACTTATAATTTGTTTAGTACTTAAAATCAATTAAAGTGAGACACAAGTAAAGACCTTATGAACATTTCCACAGAATGGCCAACCAGGACCGAGAATTAAAATGAATAATCAGTTGTAGGGGAGGTATAAGTTATAGTGGACCGATTTTGACGGTTCCGACAAATGATTGATACATTACGAAAATACACTCGCTTACCAAATTTCAGTCGGATATCTCGTAAACTGAGGGACTAAATTGCGTTAAAACAGACAGATAGATGGACTTGGCTAAATCAACTCAGCTCGACATTTATGTGGGTCTATATCTTCTGGTACTTACGAACATTGGACCAAATTTATAATACCATTTCATGTTCATGAAAGGCATAAAAAATGATGGTAAAATCGTATGTTCGCGACCCTTACGTTCACGCCCGGCACTTAAGCTTATAAATAAAAAAACGAATAGAGATATTTCAACGCGCAATCAGTTAGGAGGAAATGCCCGTATACATTTACTTTCTTTTATGTCGTCCTGCTTTCCTGAAGTATGTACTGCATTAATGTTATTTGTTCCAATTCCTGTGCCTACAGGTGAACGATCATTTTCGAAACTAGAATTAATAAAGACATATTTGAGAAACTCTATGGGAAAAACAGGCTACGTAACTTGGCTATTCTGTCTACTGAAAATTCTATGGCTCTGTCTTTAAACTTTGATATACATTCCTTTGCGGAAGAGAAAGCTCGGGAAAATAAATTTTACTAATAAATATCTTATCAAAATTAAATTGTTATTTCATTAAAAGTTTGTATGTATAAACCCATGTTCTTGAAAACAAAAATTTATTTAGTATTTAACTAAAATGCACACATTATTGTTAATAGTGTTGGGTAACAACTTAAGTGGTTTATTAAAAAGTATTACAACGTGACGATTTTTAGTGGGAGGGCTCCATCCAAAGAATTTGCCAAGGGCCTCAGTTGATATAGTTACGCTACTGTGTAGAATCTACACTGTGGATACAAAGATATACTTGTGTATGTTAAAGCACGTCGACTACTTACGGCGAACAACAAAGCACTTCCATATGTATGGCAAACATACATACATATGTACATACATACATACATACAGTATTGGACATATCTATAGCACCCCCCTTTCAAAGCAATATTGTTTGCCACTTATGTTTAATTATTTGTTTTTAAGAATTTTCAATTAAAATACAGTTCATTCTCCAACAAAACCCATATAAACCAATGTTTTAAACTTTTTAAAAGACCGCAAAAAAGTGCAACAAACTTTCCCTTAAATTTCAAACTTTTTTCTCAGAAGCTCTAGAATTTTTTTGAGTACACAGTTCTATAGCGCATTCAATTTTGTCCAATAATGGGGAAGTTGCAAGTCGCTAAAGATTACCGTTGATTTTTTAGAATTTTATTTGTATCATTTGCTTCCATATAACGACTAAACACAATTTATTTTTATATGGCAGAAACCCGCAACATCCTCGGCGAAAAAAATTCTAAAAAATCAACGGTAATTTTTAGCCACTTGAAACTTGCACATTATAAGACTAAAATTGAATGGGCTATAAAACTGTGTATTCAAAAAAAATCTACCGCTTCTGAGAAAAAAGTTTGAAATTTGGGTGAAAATTTGTTGCACTTTTTTACGGTCTTTTAAAAAGTTTTAAACTTTAGTTTATGTGAGTTTTGTGAGAGAATGAACTGTATTTTAATTGAAAATTCTTAAAAATTAATAAATAAACATGAGTGGCAAACAATATCACTTTGAAATGGGGGTGCTATTGTATTGGCCAATACTGTATGTACATACATGTGCATGTACGTTAATACACCTGATCGTATGTTAATACGGTTTACTGGGTGATAAGCAAACCAGTTTATAAAACACGCAGGAAAATTAAATTTTTTGGAAAAATTTGTTGTAATTCGTGCAAAAAACACAATTGTGAAGATAAATAAGTATTATAACCGCCAAAGTCTAAAACCGATTCAAAATCAACTTTTTAAATTTAAATTTATTTGGACATCATTGAGAACGCCTTTAAAATGTGTGTAGTTTCGTCATGAAAATATGCAAGTTTATTTACACACATCCATGCATATAATATCTATGTATGTATATATGTGTACATATGCACACATACATATCCATGCAAGTATGTAATACATCTGCAATGATCGATTTTACAGGAAATTATAATTTTCCAAACGCGCACCGTTCAGGCCCTATGATCTGCTAAAATATGTTCCCGGTCTTTTAAAAAGAACATATGAATTCGTGCTAAAAAAAATACTCGAGAAATGTAAAAACATGCAATTAAATCGCGTAAGAAGAGAAACAAGTGCATACATACATACAACCATAAGTACATATGTATGTATGTATATTTGACATACGTACATATGTATATTTTACATGTATAAAAATCATATAACAAAACAAAAACAGAAGTTCAAACAACAAATGAGAACAAAAACAGTACTGATCTTAATGTGTTTAGTGGATATACTACATCCATACAAAAGTACGTACATATGTATGCATGTGTTTAGGAGTTTTATTATAAATACATATGTATGTATGCATGTAGGAATGTACATATACATATGTATACTATGCATGCATTTTTCTTAAAAATAATAGCAACGAAATGGACGCAATAGAGGCACTTAACTCCCACAACTACTATGTGAATACCAAGACTATACAGAGTGTAAAAAAATATATTTATAGGAAATCTAAGGTAACAGACTCGTACGGTTTTCAATATAAAAGTTTTCGCGAGTGTAATATATAAAACAAAAATTAGTTCGATTAAGATTTCAATAGACACCCACAATCCAAAGCATTGCAGAAATGGTGCTGAATGACATTTAAGTGCTGAGTGAGACAACGGTGTCGGCTATCCAGAAACTGTCCGACTTCAAACTAAATGCTTTCAAAAGGTAAGTAACTATCAATATTTGAAATATTTATTGATGCACTAGCAGACCCGGCGAACTTCGTCCCCCCCCCCCCCCCAAAATTATTTTTATAATTTTTTTATTGAAACATTTGGCCCAACGTTTTCGCCAGCAATTCCCGTTCACGTTTAGTTTTGTGGTCGACAGAAGCCATGTCCTCCATTGCCGTCTTAAATAACCTGACGTAAGCGTTATGCCTCTGCTACCACCAGCGGGTTCCGAGTTGAATACTTTCAGAGCTGGAGCGTCGGTGTCCGTTCGAACGACATGGCCAAGCTAGCGGAGCCGTTGTATTTTACAGCTCATACAGCTCATCGTTCCATCGTCTGCGGTACTCGTCGTCGCCAACGCGTAAAGGCCCGTAAATCTTCCGCAAAATCTTTCCCTCGAATACTCCAAGAGCCGGCCCATCGGATGTTGTCATTGTCCATGCTTCCGCGCCATACACCAGCACGGGCATGATGAGTGACTTACATAGCGTGGTTTTCGTACGTCGAGAGAGGACTTTACTCCTGAATTGCCTACGCCAGTGCTCGTCAAACTTTTGAGTGTGACGGACCGGCTGCAGTTTTTCTATTACGTCGGGGACCGGTACCTTTTTTTATTGATTATTTTTCGTTTACGATCATCTCACATATGTATTAAAATTTGTTTAAATGAATTTCTTTATTAGCCGGGTGTCTATATATGACCTATTACCATTTAATGATAGCAGATATTAGCGATTTTTTATGAATGTTTAACAAATTTAAGTTGTTTTTATTATACAAGTTGTATATAGCCTCATTAAACAGTAATATAAAACATCAAAAAAATCGTTGTCCATTTCGCGACGCCCTTTGCGGACCGGCGACTTATGGCTTACGGACCGGCACCGGTCCGCGGACCACCACTTTGGCGAGCACTGGCCTACGCAGTCCAAAGTATTTAGCACTTGTTGGCAAGAGGGATTCTGCGCTGGATTTCTATGCTGACATTGTGCCGAATGAATAAAAACAAAGCGATTGCTTTTTCTTAAAATTGCATACCTTTTACTTCAATTTCGTTTGAATAAATCGAGTAAACTGTACGGCCCAAGGCACATAAATACAGGTAGAAGCAAGGCGAATTTATATAAGGTGATAGCAGGAGTACAAAAACAAAAACTTACATGTATTTTGTTTTTGCTTTGGCGGCATAAACTGTCAAAATATGTAAAATTTTTAAATTTGACATAAGAAGCCGTGAGGCGAAACACATACACAAAATCAGCTGATCTAGTAACACCACCTTATATAAATTCGCCTTGTGTAGAAGCCAAAATGACGTTGCTCTCATGAGAACCAAACCTTTAAACTTCAACTTGTTTTTCTATTATT